CCTAATTCCAGGAGCCGGCCCCACTTCTAAGGCCCCTTATCGCATGGCGCCGAAGGAGCTTCAAGAGCTCAAGGCCCAGATCCAGTAGTTGCTTAAGCTCGGTTTTATTCGTCCGAGTGTCTCGCCGTGAGGTGCGCCCGTCCTATTCGTGAAGAAGAAAGACAGATCGATGCACATATGCATTGACTATCGGGAGTTAAATGCCCTTACAGTCAAGAAAAAGTACCCCCTTCCCCGTATTGAGGACCTTTTCGACCAGCTGAGAGGAGCCAGCGTCTTCTTAAAGATTGACTTGCGTTCTGGCTATCATCAGCTGAAGATCCGGGAGTCGGATATTTCCAAGACTGCTTTCCGTACCCGATATGGCCACTATGAGTTCGTAGTCATGCTGTTCGGACTCAGCAACGCTCCGACCATTTTCATGGACCTTATGAATAGGGTCTTTCATCCTTTTCTGGACCAGTTCGTCATTGTGTTCATCGATGACATTCTGGTCTATTCCCGAGACATCGATCAGCACAAGGAGCATTTGAGGATTGTGCTGGAGACTCTTCGCCGCGAGAAGTTGTATGCTAAGCTCTCGAAGTGCGAGTTCTGGCTGAATCGTGTGGCATTCCTTGGCCACATTGTGACAGCTCGAGGCATTGAGGTGGATAGCAGCAAGATTGAGGCGGTGAGCAAGTGGGATACGCCAAGAAGTGCTGCAGATGTTCATAGTTTCCTGGGGTTAGCAGGATACTATAGGAGGTTTATAGAGGGCTTCTCGAAGATAGCCCAGCCACTGACCAACCTTACGAAGAAAGCCGTGAGGTTTGATTGGAGTCCTCAGTGTGAGGAGAGTTTCCAGGAGTTGAAAAGGAGACTCACTACTGCACTTGTCCTATCTATACCCGACCCTAATTTGGAGTTCACCATCTATAGTGATGCTTCGAAGATTGGTTTGGCATGTGTCCTTATGCAGCAGGGGAAAGTCGTAGCCTATGCTTCGAGGCAGTTGAAGTCTCACGAGCAGAACTACCCCACTCATGATCTCGAGTTAGTTGCAGTTGTCCACGCCTTGAAGATTTGGCGGCACTACCTCTATGGAGGCAAGTGTGAGAACTTTACCGACCACAAG